TGACCCGAGCCGAAGGCAGAGGCTTTAACCCACTGAGCCACCCAGGCGCCCCAGCAATGATAATCTTTGATGTGGTACCTTTGGCACCTGGCAGAGCTCATGCAAAGTGAGTAATAAGCAAGAACACGCTTGAAGTATGCAGTTGTTTCAGGAAACAATTATTTTTAAGTAGGCTCCATGGTCAATGTGGGGCTTCAACTCATGACCTGGAGAGATCAAGAGTTGCATGCCCCCCCCCAACTGACTCAGGAAGGTGGAACAATTTTTAACCCATTGAGAAATGTTCCTTAAACTCAAAGGGGACATTTAAGGAATGGATGAGCATGTTAAAGGTTAAAACACTGAGTCTGTAACAAACATTTTAACTCAAAAATAATTCAGAAGAAATGCTTGGAACATGACCAGAAATGAACAAGAGAAACGTATTCCTTCCAATTTTCTCTTTAACTGAAAGTAGGGAGAGATGGCAGGGGAAGAAAGAAGGCACGTGGGATGCGTTCTGCCAATCCTTTCTCCCTGGTCATGGGGTCATAGAAGCCAAGTGGAACTCAGCAGTCATGAAACTCTATGTCCCTTATTTTACCGATGAAGGAACTAAAGACAAGATGTCCAGAGATTGGCTAATGTCCTACAGATAACCCATGAGAATTCAATCCCTGGGTATTTCTGTAAGAGACTTTGTGCCTTTCACTTTCTGCTCCTTTCTCTGAGTTTCCTCTCTCTCCTTTCCCCTCCTGTGGACTTGACACCTGGCTCCTTGCTACCCAATTCACATGAAGAGATACGCAGTGACTCAGTAGAGCAAGAGTAGGCTGGACATGAAGATGGTCCCAAAGGTTGAGGAACAGACACGTGAGTGAATGTCCCTGCCACACACAGGCCTGTGGGGAGACAGTGGGGGGGCTGCAGGTGATGACTGACCCCCAGGGCTGTCCTCACACACCAGCTGCCTTGAATGGGCCCTATTATATCCAGGACGAAGTGAGACTGCCATAGCAGCTTCTAGAATCACATTCTCTCTAAAGATACATAAACTGATTGCCCAATCTCATGCTTGGAAGCTTGAAAAAAGATGGGCTAAGGGTGGCCTTCTGTGATAGTGTGATTCCTCTGTGACTGGAACCTTGCAGCTTTGTCTTGTAAGATGCTAACAGATGCTAACTACATCCAGAGGGACAGGGATACACTGTGGTGGGTGGAACAGTGTGAGGTGAATGGGGGCAGAGGAGATGGGGTGGGAGATGGCGACTGGGAGGACAGGGGCCACAGATGAAATGCTCCCAGGGCAGCACAGTGACAGCCCGAGGCCCCTCCCACAAGCATCCCATAGTTGGAACAGATTGGCCATCCGACCCCTGGACTCCAAGTGGGGTAGACACAGGTCAGCGAGTTTTGACAAGCACACACTTGGACCAGGAGGGCCTTGCTCAGGATGTGCAGGCCCACACCTTCAAATTCAGACCCAGGACCTCAGGGAAGACTTTGTGACCTGTCACAAGCAAGTCATGGATGAGATTTCGTCCTCGTGAGTTCATTTAAACACCGCCACCAGCAACAACATAACCTCGACCACAAAAGCTGGTATTTCAGAGGCCCAAAAATGATTAGTGCCTTACATGACTGCATTCGAAAAACTAAAAACATGAGGCTAGATTTTCTTGGAGAAAAAAATGGAAACTCAACCTCCTATTGATGTGTGCACTATTCATTTAGAAGATGAATTATGTGCCTGGGCAATCGTGATTTCCATCAAGACCTATGGATGAAGATTCAGGCTGTATATCTTCACTTCTGCTGGCATATATGACTCTTTCATTGCATCTTCACTTCTTTCCCTTTTGATCAGTGAAAAGAAATAGAGACATTTAATTCTGAATAAGGAAAAACGTAGGGGAAGCCTTTCTCAAAATATATAATGGAAGCGTGCTCACTTGGCACAATGGAAAGAAGCATGTGGAAGGTTCAGAGGCCTATTTTACTCAACTTGGGGTGATGCCAGAGATCACAGACCAATCAACTCCTCCGCAATGTAGTGAGGTCTCTAACATTGGAAGCATTCGAAGAAACACGGGACTACATATTCTGGATACTATAGAGGGAACCCATCAGGTGCAACATGGTCATCTCTCAAGCCCTTTGCAATTCTGAGATTCAGCAGCCCTGTGAAATCCAACCATGAATTCTCTATTGAGCATTCCAGAGGGGCGACTGGCTGTGCTTTGGGCAAAGCCCTTATTTCAGCCACTCTCTCTGAGCCGCAAGCAGGCAACGGTCAACTCACCGATACTTGGCCATTGATGATGACCTCCTCAGAGAACCGCACTTTGACCGGATTGGACTTTAATCTTGCCTTTTTGGCAGCACTAATAAATGCTGACTTGGGAGACTAGAAAAGAGAAAACACTGGGTATGATTATTGGGAACATAGAGCAAACCCTGGAGCAGTTGTTTTCTAGCTTTCTCCTCTCATATATGCAATATTTCTGCTAAAAAGTACGTTTGGTACATGTCCAATTCGAGGATGAAACACAAATCATGGAAGCAATCAAAACCCTGTCATGCTCATAAAGTAGGAGGTTTGATTTAGTCAGCAGACCAGAACTGCAAACAGCGCGTTCTATGTTCTTGCTGAGCACGTTCCCAAGGATCTTCTTATTTTTCTTTTTTTGAGAGGAGAGAGGGAGAAAGAGAGCAGGGGCAGAGGAAGAGGGAGAATCTTAAGCAGGCTGTATGCTCGGCGCAGAGCCCAACACAGGGCTCATTCTCACAACCCTGAGATCATGGCCCGAGCCGAAATCAAGAGTCTGACGTTCAACCGACTGAGCCACCCGGGTGCCCCACTCAAGGATCTTTTAAAATAATGCCTGCGAAAGTCACAAACCGTGCTTTGAATATAGAGCTTTGAGCGCAACATGGAAGTGTCAAATTGATCCCTCATTATTTTTAAGAGGTGGAGAAGATTCACTAATAGTTCTAAGGTGATCGATAGTCCCACCGTTATTCACATGAAGGGTTTAAGGGTGTGTGAACAGACAAGCACGCACACACACAAAACACACCCACTTTATGTGCCCCAAACTTGAATTTCAGCCTCTTGTGGTAATCTGTCATCCGGGGTTCTTGCAGGATGGGGCAGAGACCACTTTGGCTAACAACTGAATGTTGGCTTCATATTCTGTCTCATTGTAAAGGTTCTTCGTAGAGTTGACCCTTCAACAACATAGGGTCCACTTACATGTGGATTTTGGGGGGAAAGTACAGTACAATATCATAAATGTATTTTCCTTTTAAAAATTTATATTTATTTTATTATTTCTTTAAGTAATCTCGACACCCGACGTGGGGCTCAAACCCACGACCCCAAGATCAATAGTCAGATGCTCTACTGACTGAACCAGCCAGACACACCAACATAGTTCCCTTATGATTTTCTTAATAAAATTTTCTTTTCCATAGCTTGCTTTATTCTAAGAATACAGTATATAATACATCGAACATACAAAATACGTGATTACGTTATCGGTAAGACTTCTGGTCAACCGTGGGCCATCAGCAGTTAAGTTTTGGGGGAGTCAAAAGTTACATGCAGGTGTTTGACTGCATGGGAGTTGGTGTTCCCAACACCCACGTTGTTGGAGGGCCAATTGTACTGTCTTGTATTGGAAAGGAGCTGAGTGACTCAAGCTTTCTTCCTCAGAAACTAAACGTGCAAGACGGAAAGTTGCTCAGAAGTGTACTACGATCCAGAGCGAACTCCTGCTGCACAGTTCACTCCATCTGAGAATCATCCCTGTTGCAGAATTTTAATGAACCCTGAGGAGAAGGGAACTCACATTGAGGAGGTGTCTATTATGTTGCAGGCACCATTTGTTTATTTTAAAAAGGACCACATTCTCTACTGAATCTAAAAAACAGGTAAATTTTTAGTTTGAATCATGAAATTGCTACTTGATAGATTAAAATTGTCAAGCACTGCAAATTGCAAATTGCAAATTGTCCAACCTAATCGTTTTCGTGGTATGTGGTCCTAAGAGGTTCAGGCTGTTGTGGAAAGAATCCTAGTAATTGACTCTAGAACAAACATAGAGGCTCGACTTTCTGTGCACTGTATTAATCTCAGGGCACGAAAGCCAATTAGGGGGTCCCATACTTTGAATTTTGAGTAAAAATGAAAAAGGTTCCCATCTTTGTCAAATGCAAGTGTACTTGGGATCAATTAAAACAATATGATAAAATGGAGAAATGAAATGACAAATCCATACAATGGAATATTAGTCAGCCATAAAATGTAATGACGTTCCGGTTCGTGCTACAACATGGATAAACCTCAGGGACATTATGTTGAGTGAAAGAAACCAGACACAAAAGGCCATGTATTGTAGCATTTGACTCCATTTCCATGAACATTCTGGAAGAGGCAAATCCATATAGACGGAAGGTAGAATAGTGGTTACCCCGGGCAGGGTAGGAGAATGGGGAGTGACTAACATCTGCGGGGGTTGATTTCCTTTTGGGGTCATGAAAAGGTTCTGGAACAAGACAGCAGCGACTATTGAACAAGATGGTGGACACACTTAACATCCCCGATTTGAACGCTTTAAAATAGTGAAAATGGTAGATTTATGTTATGTGCATCTTCCTGTAAAAAGATAAAATCGCTGTTGGCTCTGTGTGTGCCTGTTCCAGGGAGGAGTTTTGCTTGAATACTGGACAAAATCCTGTTATCTTAAGTTTCCCTCCACACCCATCCCATCCTCTGCGCTCACCCGTGTCTTAGGGGACTGGATGGATGAATGGATGGTTTGGCCGCCAGAGCTTTAATTTCCCTATTTATGCAAGATGTTTACAGAGAAGGCTGACTTCTTGGAACACAACAAAAGAAAACAAAACCAAGAACTCAAAGCTCTAAAGAACATGTCGATCACGTTCAACATGACTTTTAAAAGCCCCACTCCAGGGGCGCCTGGCCGGCTCAGTCTGTGGGGCTTGTGATTCTTGATCTCCGGGTTGGGAGTTCTGAGTCCCATGTTGAGTGTAGAGATTACTAAAAAATAAAATAAAATAAAATAAAACAAACTGAAAAAAAAAAAAAAAAAGTCCTACTATAGAGCTTAAGGGATGGGACGGTGGTGTTCTCCTCGGTATCGCTGTAATTATAGGCTGAGTTTGGTAATGATTAACGAACAAATCGTACAGTAGTGAGTTCTTTTGCTTTCTATATGCCACTTTTTAGCTGAAGGGAAAACATTATTTTCTCTTAATGATTTTAGGCAGGCGATACTTACACTGGCACAATGGGTTTCGCACAAAGGGAGTGGGCTGTCAGAGCTACCGAGAACAGAAGCTACTAATTAGATAAGGGGCTTGAGCTTTGATGCCCCCCCCACCCCCACCAACCACTGCCGCCTGGGGCTCTAGCATCCTTTATTTGTGAAGGCTCTCACGTGTGCTCAACATGCCAGATACAGAGGCTGATTCTCCTGTGCATCTGAATCTTTTAATATAACACTTTGCCACGTTTTCCTGAAACGATCTATGTCACTCATTGCCTCAATAAAAAAGCACTTCACAGGGGCGCCTGGGTGGCTCAGTGGGTTAAGCCTCTGCCTTCAGCTCAGGTCATGATATTGGGATCCTGGGATAGAGCCCCGCCTCGGGGGGGGGGGGGGTCCCTGCTCAGTGGGGAGCCTGCTTTCCCCTCTCTCTGCCTGCCTCTCTGCCACTTGCGATCTCTGTCAAATAAATAAATAAAATCTTAAAAAAAAAAAAAAAGCACTTCACAAGGACGCTTGGGTGGTTCAGTCGGCTCAGCATCTGCCTTCAGCTCAGGTCATGATCCCAGGGTCCTGGGATTGAGCCCCACATCTGGCTCCCTGCTCAGCGGGGAGCCTGCTTCTCCCTTTACCCTCTTGTCTCCTCCCCAGATTTATCTGCCCTGCCCTAACCACAAACCTGATGAACGAGGAGAACCAGCCAGGAACTAGATAGCTAAGGGAGTTAAGTAAATACTATTCTATGTGTATTTTGAAGCCAACAGACTTGGGATAAAAGGCCGAAAATTCAGGCCAGGGCATTTTTCTTATTCTGGATTTGCGACTATTTTATGTATTTGACGTATGTTTCAAAAATTACTTTTGGGGACGCCTGGGTGGCTCAGTTGGTTAAGCTGCTGCCTTCGGCTCAGGTCATGATCCCAGCATCCTGGGATCGAGTCCCACATCGGGCTCCTTGCTCAGCGGGAGCCTGCTTCTCCGTCTGCCTCTGCCTGCCTCTCTGTCTGCCTGTGCTCACTCTGACAAATAAATAAATAAAATCTTTTAAAAAAATTACTTTTGGATAATAAAAACATAAGCTCCTCAAGTCTGAAGGTTACCGAATTAGAGTCAACAAAATAATGGCTTATTCCACTGGCTGGAGTTACATGTGGCATGCGGGGTATGCAATCCCATCACGACTGCGGTTTACACTCTGATCTCCTTTTGCAGCTCAAAAAACATACAACGTACACCCCTCAGAACCTGACGAGTTAATTCTGAGCAACCTGCAGGCCCGTAGGTGCTGATCACAAGCACTTCCTATCCTGTAGTGGAAATGACGAGTGATTACCATTTAAAATAATCAGATTCCCCTGCTGTTAATTAATTTAAGATTAGAAGGGCTCTAATCAACGTCTGCCCCTCTTTCCAAATCTGCTGTTGCTAAGGTGGCCAGAGTAGATGTGTGCCATGCTCTTGGGGCTTTTAGAGGCTCAGAAGTCACTAGAGCATCGTTTGGAAAAAAATTACCTAAATAAGATAAAATTTCTGAAAGTAAAGCATAAGGTCTTAAATTTGCAACTCCTGTATGTCTACAGTACTCTGTACGTGGAAGGTAGGCATGGAGTAAGTATGTGGTGAAGTCTGAGTTAGCCCACAGTTATCACCGGGTCACTTAGCGTGGAGTTCCCCCAGAGCAGCGCCTAAGACAAGGACTGACAAGCAGGAAGCTGAATGGGAGGCACTCCCAGGACACACGCACGGATGAGCAGGAGGAAGGAAGAGTGACCCAATGAAGCATCCTACAAGCCCGAAACTGGGCCGGCATGCTTGGCATGACACACGGCAGGAGGAACTGGTCTGGATTCTGGGACCATCTAACACATGGAGGCTCCCACAAGGAGATAGGTAGCCTCTCTCAGGTGTGTGGAACGTAGTAAAAGTTGGGTAGGAAGGAGAAGCAGGAAAGCAGGTCCCTCAGCTCTTGGGTCCAGAAAAAAGCCGAGTGAATGAAAATCATGATAGCACCAGCCCACAGAATGGACAGTGACTTATCCCAAGTGCCACGGAGCCAGCACTGTGTAATGGGAGGGAATTAAAGACTTTCAACAGTCTGTATCTCAAGCCCCATTAGACGAGGAAGTTCTGGAAGTTCCACATTTGGGAATGTGGGAGGTGGAGTCAAAGGAAAGGAGGAAGGAGCTATCAAGAAAGCCCTGGAATAAAAACCAGTAAGAGTGCAAGGAAAGAAGATGGTACAAAGACGGAATAAAATTCACAAGAGACCCAGAAATTTCTTCTTGAGAATGTCATCATAATGGAAGGGGGGAACTTCTCACTAGATACAGATGAAGACTTCTACACAAAGGTGTTGCGTGCAGAATTAGAAGGGAAGACCACTGAGGTCAGTATGAGAGGCTTAATAAGAGGGTGTTGGCTAAATAAATCTTGGTTCCACGTAATGCTTTCCAGCCACGCATACGATGCTGATAAAGAATTCTTGATGGTATGAAACCATGTTTATGACAGACTAAGCGAAAGGAGCAGAATAAACTGTATGTCCAAGATCTCCACTAGTGACAAGGCATCTATCACATGACTGGAAGGAACCAGGCCGATTGTTTACACTGCTTGTCTCTGAGGAAAAGATGTGCTGACATATATTTTTTTGCTCTCGTGTGTTTCCTTCTATACTTCCACAATTTTTCTCTAAGAAATAAAGGAAACATGGCGGAAGGGGAGAGCCATCTATAACACTTCAAAAACAAGGCAGAAGCCTGTGAAGAATGACTCCTCAAAAGCCTCAGGAATTTCCACAGCGGGGCTCACTGTGGGGGAGCCCCGGGACCGTGTGGAGTGACGTAAGAAGGGCGAACACCGGCTCTCTGTCTTGACGGGGCCTTACTAGGCAGAAGAAATACAACATAACAAATGCTGGCCGGCAGGTTACAGAATAAATTAAAATGCTAATTTTTACTATCTGCAATAAAAGCAGAATTTATACACGTTCTTTCGGCCTGGGGGCTCTTCTGTTTCAGGACACTGATCCTGGCTGCCGAGACAAATGGTCAGCAAGAAGGGTTTGGCTAGGCCGAGGAAGTGTTGGGGTGGGATATGTGGTGGGCTTTTCAGGAAGGAGGGCTAATCCAGGGAAGTCAAAGACGAGGATGCCACCCTGTGACCGAGCAGGGAGAAAGTGCTGCGAGGCACAGAGGCGCGGCTATTGGCCAGAAGAACACACAACACTCGCTCCTGAAGGTTGTGGTCAAATGTTGACTTTCATTATAGCACAAGAGCAACAGCCACCTGAACTCCTGGAAAGTTCCAGATGATCTATTATAGGAAGTTCCATGAATCACTGGTAAGAATGAGGATTCATATGAATAACCAGTCACGCGCTCTCGAAACCAGAAGCAAAGCCACAAGACATAACCCTTAACTTAAATGCCAAACTCCTTGTTCTTTCTCCAAGTCTACTGCCTGGGGTAAAACATTACCTCACATTGCAAAAATAACCTGGTTTGGAATACAGTGGTCCTGATCTCGCATGTCTAACAGGTTAAAAAGTGAGAAGAGGGAAGCCAGGAGACACAAGGTGAACTTGAAGTTCCATTAGGAATTTACAGTTGGCCAACCACTTGGTTTTTGTAGGCATTTCTGCTGGCTTCACTCAACCTATTTGTCCCCTGCAAAGAATGAGGAAACATGGATAGATTTGAAGTGAGTGTGAATGACCCTCTGGTTAACAGAATCCGTGTAGCTGTTCTTTCTCTGGAAGGAAGCATGGAATCATGAGATGGCAGAGCAGGGAAGCCCTTGGATGTGAGTCAGTGTGAGATGCGAGACAGATTCGGAAGTCCGAGCAGGTGCGGGACTGACCTGTTCTATCGCCGGGAACTAGATCTCAAATCTCAGTTCTCTTACATCCCGTTGTCTCCTTGGTTTTCAAATCCAGACATGCGTGTGCAGTTGTGGCACACAGAGGGACCACGAGCAACAGTCCGTAGTAAACTAAGTTTTTATTATAAGTAGCAATGTACCGGATGGCACAGTTTGTTGTCTTGCTTAGTTCTATTTGTCATCGTATCACAATCTGGAACACATTTTTTTTTCCCTGCCTGAAATGCTTAGGCCACAGTGCTTACAAGGAAGATGCTGGGACAGGGGAGAGGAAGAGTTTGGTCAGGAGACGGAGAATGACCCTTAGCAGAGCCTCCAACTCCACGGGGAAGAAAATAGAAGTGTAAACAGTTGGGAATCTCTGCCAATCCCTGCGAAGGCCATGCAAGGTACTGATGGTAAACGCTTGGGGGAAAATCTGAAGGACTTTGCCTTGGTATTTTTGAGCTCAACTCCCAATGTACGGACTTCACAAGCGACAGCAAATCTATAGAAATGGACAACCAGTTGTTGCCTGGGATTGCGGGTAGAAAGGGGGTATTCACTGTAAATGGGAATGAGAGATCTCGATGGGCTGAAGGAATTGTTCTGGAGCCAGATGGTGGTGATGGCTGCATGCCTCAGTAAATTTTATACAGAGCATTGACTTGTATGCTTGAAATGGGTAGATTTTAGGATATACAAATTATACCGTGATAGAGTTGTTAAAAAAAAAAAAAAATCATGGCAACCCAAGGCAGTACTCCCCACCCTCCTGACCAAGGCTGCTGAAATCGAATTCTGACAGCTGCGTCTCCTCCAATAGCCGCCTTTAAGTGTGTGTGTGTGGGGGGGGGCCTCCCTGAAATATCTACCAAAATAATTAGAAAGGAATATGGAAAAGAATTATGCTAGAACACCCTACAATTAAACATTCCCATTCCATTTGTGATTCTCAAGCTAGAAACCATAAGAAAGTCTTGAGTCTTGTGTGATTTCCAGATGTGAGTGCCATAGACTGAGAGCTGGTTTTCAAGATATATAGAAAAGGCATTACTTTCCTTTCTCGCTGTGAATGGTTTTGCTACCATGGTGCGTAAAACACAAATAATGAAGATTTCTGAACTCATATTGTGAGTGCATGCCGTTTTTCTCTGCTGTTAATTCATTGTCACGGTTTCCCCAGACTGGGAGGAGGGGGAGACTGGAATCCTGGGATCTTACAGCGGCACTTTTACTCACAGGACACTTACAGGGTAAGGCTGAATGACAGTGAGAAGTATCGATTCTTTGCAGCTTCTGAAAGAGAAGAAAAACAAACATATTTATGAAATGCGCAGAGGCCAGGCTCTCTATGACAGCGTTCTTTTGAAATGCAACGTGTGATGTGTTGGCGAACATTTCTGGGGCTCTCAGGCGGAGTAAATCAAAAAGCTCAAAAATGGGCTTTCAGGCCTCAGAGAAAACCAAAATCAAGTGTTCACCCAGTGTAACAAACAGCCTGATTGAAAGCTTCCCGTGCGGTTTATGTTGGGTGTTATCATCTGTGATGCCAAACAGCAGGGCTTTGAAATAACACTCGCCCAGGGAAGGACTGTTGCAGAAGCCTGGACTCCATCAGTTTCTGTACTTCCCGCTACCCTCCACATTGATTCTCCCCCTTTGATTTTAATTTTCTAGAAAAAGAATTGATTTTTTAAAAATTAGTAACATCGTTATCAGCTCAGGGTCAGCAGCACAAAAGTGAAGTGTCAGCATGGGTTTCTTATGTGCAAACAGCACCCCGCAAACATCACTTTCCCGTGCCGCGAGGCCCCCTGGGTCCACGGTGACAATGCTCAGGATGTTGGGGTGCGAGCTATTTCAGACGGGCGCTCGCTGGGAAACAGTGTTCCTGATAGGGGATACCTTGTAGCAGAAAGCAGAACAAGGCAATATCATGGTTTATTTAATTTCCCCCAAATAACCCCATCCTGATAAATAACTCAATTCCTCAGGGAAAATCATGCTGTGGGTGTAACAGTTTTCCTTCCTTCCCTTTCCATCCGGAGTACGAGGAAGGTCTGTTGCCACTTTGTGGAGGAGATGTGGACTTCTTACTTCAGGTTTTAATGAACGACCTACTTTTGTGATTTACTGTCCACGTGAATAAAGTAAAGGGAATCTGTGGCAAGGCTGTTCCCTGGAAGAAGCCACGGCAGATGTACTTCCAGCAATCTTTGCCCTGTGGTGGGCACCCTCCCCGCCAAGCTAGTTCGGGCCACTGGCCACAGCAGCGCTGGGTGGGGGCTGGGAAGTGGGGAGTGCAGCGGGGGAGGAGAGCAAAACACAGCAGAGAAGGGAGGGATAGAAGTCAAGAAACTCGAAGAAGTATCAGAACATTTCAGATGACGGTAAAGCTGGAGGACCGGCCGCTCCGCCCGTGGGCTCCCATGAGTTCCCAGTTGCCAAGGGTGGGTGGAAAGCTCCAGCACCACGTACGGCAGCCAGAATCGCCATTAGATGGAGAAACAGAGTCACGGCACGCCCACAGCACAGTGCCACAGAAACAGGGAGTGGTCGCGCGTCGCGGCTGGCTGTGTGGACAGGGGTAGTCCTCCCGCCAGGCCTTATGGCATCACTAGGCAAACCTCAGTGTTACATGCACTATGACCTCAGCCTTTCCACTCTGGTTTAGGTCCCAAAGAAATTCTGCCGCTGGACTTTAAGGGCTGGGGGAGTTGGGGATGTTGCCGGGGTGGGGAGGTGAAAGGCTAGAGAGCAGTTAGGGCTCCAGCCGCAGGAGAGTGGCCGCGGACGTGCGTGGATGGCCAGCACCCAAGGACGGGGCGAGAAGAGGCAGGAGCTTAGCTGTGCTTGGTAACTCCGGCGATGGCGCTTCAAACGCAGGGGAAGAAACCGGACCCGGTGCGCAACAGAATACCGTTGGCAAAAGCGCGAAACACACGCACACACTAAAGGACACACTAAACGCGTTCGAAGGGATCTCTGTCGGGCGAGAGAGAGAGGGCAGGCGTGAAATAAATAAGCAACATCAGAGGAGAGGGGCCTTCCGTGGGTCTCTCATGATGCTTTCTAGCCTGAACGGACGAGTTTGATGAAGTCCACTGTCTGCACGTATGGTTTCATAAAGAACTCGCAATTTGGAAGAGGATGAAGAAATGTGGGGTAGATGTATGTTAGCAAACTTGCAAACTGCTGAAGGGGAGGTGGCTCATGGAGCTTTTTGAAGTAATCCCTCATTTGCTCACCAAGACATTGGAGGACCCGCTGCCCAGCTCTTTTGGGGCCGTCCCAAGGCAGGGGACCTAACCCCATCACCCAGCCCCCACTGTTTCCATACAGGTGTCTGCGTGAGAGGAACACTCAGAAGGCAACACAAATATTGCTTCTCAGCTCTCACTTGAGTTCCTCTTGTTCGAAGGGACCAAGGAACGCCCAGCAGATGAGAGAAAGGATCCAGTTGACCGAAGCCTTTGTGCACACGGCCACCGCAGTAGTGGGTGTGCCCTGCCCAAGGCCCGCCCCCAGGGCCCTCGGGAGCCGTCGCTGGGCCCAGGGATCCGTGCTCTGGGCACAGCTGATTGGACCCAGAGGTTGGAGAGAGCCAATCAGATTTCCTCTCTGCAGGATCGAAACTAAGGCACCCAAGACTCCCAACAGGGAGCTGAGGGTCAGTAATGGCTGAGCAAGAGGGGAGGTGACAGGGGTGAGTCCTCCCCTGTGCAGTTCTGGCTCCCACTGTCTTATTAGAAAGAAAACAATTGATAGGAAAATCTCAATCGAACTATTATTAGCTCTGGGAACGGCCTTTCATTTCTGTGTCCTTTCATCTACAAGTACTTAATTATCCCCTGTCAGACATGAATAATGAACTCCATAGCGCTTTGGGTCCCGTAGGGTTCCTCACTCGGTCCTGTCAGGGGTGAAACGGCAGCAGCAGCAGTCACAAGGCGCCCTCTGGGCTCATGAGTTACAGGAGGCCACGACGGCTGAGGGAGAGCCAGCCGAGGCCTTGTGTCAAAAGACATTGCTCACCTTTGCGCACCAAAGCAAGGTGCCGCAGACCTTTGAAGGAGGTACTAAAAGCCAGGGCTTAGGGCCTGTAACACTGTATGCGCCTGGGAGCCGGACTCATTACTTAATGAAAACCAACAACAAAAGGCAACTGGGAGAGTTTGGTGGAAGCAACATAACCCCTAAGAATAGAGATGTTTTCAAAATCCCTACCCTTCCACTGAGGCAGGCCTACAGGATGCAATTCCTGGGGCCAGTATGTGGAAGACACAGTAGAAATGGTACCCTGGGGTCACTGAATAAAGGCGTCTGGCGCATCTGAGCCTCTATAGGGGTGACAGCGCCTGGACAGAGGCAGAGGTGCACGGACAGAGCAAGCCTCTGGGTTCTCTCTGACTCCAGGTGCTGCGGTTGGAGCCACACAACAGAGAAGTCTTCCAGGAATCCACAAACATGTCCACAAGGGAAAGAGTCAACTTTTTTTTTTTTTTTTAAGGTCCTATTTATTTATCTGAGAGAGACCGTGAGCATGAGCAGGGGGAGGGGCAGAGGGAGAGGCAGACTCCCCGCTGAGCAGGGAGCCTGACATGGGGCTCGATCCGGAGACCTGGAGTTCATCACCTGAGCCGAAGGCAGCTGCTTAACTGACTGAGCCACCCAGGAGCCCAAAAGTGAATGTGCATTATCCTCTGTAGATAAGAGGACACCAATGCCAGATGACATTGGTGCCAATCAAGCGAGGACTCTCCTGCTTTTTACTTCACTGTCCTGGTCCCATTCCCATATGGAAGGAGCCAAAGCTAGAGAAGAAGGTTAAGGAATGCCCCTTAGCCCACTGCAGGCATCTCAGGTGCAAAACAGGGGCAAGGAAGGTGTTTGCAGAGCTGGGAGTCTCGATTCTTATGTGACAACTGAGTGTTTCAACTACCAATTACAAGCTGTTGTGATTATGAGTGTACAAGACACTGGAGAATTTCCTTAAACCTGCTTGAGACACGGATGGGGCCTGCCTGAGGCTTTGTGGGGGGCTAAGGAAAAGCGGGCTCTGGTGAGCTGTCGTGAATGGGCTGTGGGGAGGAAGAACCACAGTTGCTGGAAGATTCCACTCTGAGACTCGCTGGCTACACTCCTCTCCAACTTCTCCTTCCTCCAACTGACTTGAGTAGATAGTGTTCTTTGAGTCCAAACAATCCTTGACTGAGGGCTCAGAGCTCTAAGGAAAAAACAATACAAAGGAAAACACAACAGTGAGGGACAGGAGGCGCTGGGACAGGCAGGAGGCGGGATGGGCACACAAGGCTGTGGGAAAAATGCTAATTTCCTCCAGAGCGATGCCCGGTGGCCCCATATTCATTTGTTTACTTCTGGAAAGGGAAGCAGATATTCCCAGCTCTGGTGCATCTGTTAGGAGCAGACAAATGCCTGGAGATGCAACTCGTTAAGCATCTCAGACGCTAAGCAAATAACCACAGAAATGGGATTAGCTCCGTATCGCTGCTGTGATAAATAACCACGAACTTAGTGGCTTAAAACAACACAAATTTATTATCTTATAATGGAGGCCCAAAGTCTGAAATGGGCCTCAGTGGGCTAAAGTCAAGGTGTCAGCTGGGTTGCACTCATTCTGGGAAATTTTCTAGCTTCTAGAGCCTTCCTGTATTCCTTGACTCATGGCCCCTTCTTCTATCTTCAAAACCAGCAGCATAGCGCCTTCCAGTTTCTCTCTGACTCTCTTGCCTTCTTTCAGTTATAAAGACCCTTCTGATGACAATGGGTCCACCTGGATAATCCAGGACAATCACCCCGTTCTTAATGGAATCATTTCAGGAATACATAATCAGGTACAGTCACAGGCTCTAGGGATTAGGTTGTGCACATCTTTGGTGGCTGGCTGGGTGGCTCAGTTGGTTAAGCGTCTGCCTTTGGCTCAGGTCAGGATCTCAGGGTTCTGGGATCAAGCCCTGCATCGGGCTCCCTGCACAATGGGAAGTCTGCCTCTCCCTCACCCCTGCCTCCCCGCTCCCATTTGCTCACTCTTGTTTTCTCAAATAAGTAAATAAATAAAATCTTGAAAAAAAAATTTTTTTTTCTCGTGACACTGTCATCAAAGTGATGCCCAGGGCTGAGGTCTCATCCGAAATCTCAATTGGGATGGCCCACTCCCAAGCACACTCTGTGGTTTGGGGCAGGATTAAATTCTTTTCTGAAGAATTAAATTCTTGCCACACGGGCCCCTCTGACATGGTAACTAGCTTCAGCAAAACCAGCAGAGGAGAGTTTGC